ATGGAAGTTCCAGAAGTCTGTGACTGCTTTTCAGAGGTATTTAAATTAGTCACTTTCAAAGGGAAAATATGAAGATATTGTCTTTGTATTTGTTTTCCTAAGCACAAATGCCTTAGCAACTATATGTGAAGACAGGTTTATTTCAGCAGAATTTGTAGTAAACAGTGTGTTCATTTAGGACCAGTAGTGGATGCTACATGTAATGGTTTTATACACAGTTTTCAGGTGTAATCTAACCAGACCATCAGTACTCCAACAGACATTTGGCCACTTGGTAGTTATTTAACTAAGGTGACCCCTGTCTTGGACTACAAAGAGGGTAACCACAGGCACTTTGGGAATGCTCCATACACCCACACATCTCCATGCCATTGAAGCTTTGGGCAGGCCATAACTCTGAAGGCAGGTCCTAAAGAAATCACTACTTCATCTCAGATCAAAAACTACTACATCAAAGACAGCAAGTTGTTCAGGGTCACAGGTGCCTTGAAATGTCCCACGTATCGCCCCTTGTTTAATCAGGGCTCTAGACCTGTTACTTTCCTCAGATTTTCTATATTCTATTCAACACATGCAGAATTGAGTTTGGTTGTTCTTTAACACCAAACAGTGTGTTTCTGCAAACTGCATACTGCTGAGATGTTCGTCAAAAATGCAAATTCCTGAGCATTCTGCACCTGATTCTCCAGGCCTTAGAGAATCAAACTTTCCTTCATGATAAGAAGCATGTGGTATTCCTGCTAAAAAAATACCAATTCCTGGGCTCTATCCTGTACTATTGAATCAGAATCTATAGGACTGGGGCCCCAAGAGCTGGAGAAAAGAACCTAGGATTCCAGAAAACATGAGTCTGAGGCCAAAGTTGCCTGCTGGAAACCATCAGAGAGAATAACCCAAGCCTTACTCATAACTTTGAAAGACTTTGTATTGCTAATAGAAGCATAAAACGCAGGGAGAGATGGAGAAGGACCCTAGGGTCTTTGGGTCCCAACCAAGTCAAGTCAGGAATTGTTTGATGTTCATTTTACCTGCTTCCCAATTACCTTTCTAAGAGTTTTCAAAGCTTTCTCATTCTGTTAAGTTGAAGTCTAGATATAAAGTCAACCACTATTCTTTTGATTAAAAGATCTAGAGGAAACTATTTTCTTCTCAATGATTATTGCAAAAAAGTATTTTCCAGAGGCAGGTGGTAAAAAACCACTGGTGCTTCAGAGTAACATGTACAGGCCTGGGTTTGATCCTAACACTTTTTAAAAGAATTTTTCTTTTTTTCATTTGCCTTGGCTTTTCAGAAGCAAGAGTAGCTTTATATGCTTTTAAAGAAAAAAAAAATTCTTCAAACAACTGTCATTTCTCATATCTTCTGATGTTTCCTACCTCATCTATATGTAAACTGCAAGCTTCTGAGATCTAAAAAAAATAAGTATTGTTTATCTCTATTTCCCCAAGGGCAGAGCAGTGCCTGGCTTGTTAGTGGATGCTGCATGCATTGTGAGGAAAATATTTTATTTTGCCTCTGGGTCTGTTTTCTTTAGCTAAGGTTATCAGAATTAAATATAACCTTTTTATTTGTTTGTTTGTTTGTTTGTTTCGGTGAACCTTTCACTATGCAGTTGAGTATTGGTTTATTGTTTTAAGATTTAGGAAAGGCAAAATGCTGATTTAAAAAAAAAGCCCAAGAGACAAGCAATGCGATTGTGCATACCTGCAAAGAACGTCCGGATCCCCTGCATCCTGTGAGGAAATTTCATTGCATAAATGGGTTACTATTAGTTGATGGAAAAATTAAGTTAACTGGAATCCCCAGTCCACCGATCGTGCCAGTTAACTGAGGTATTAGTGTCCTGTTTAAACTCTCAGAGCTATTAAATTAAACGGTCGTGACATGAAACCTCAGAAAAGTCTTATTGTTGTCTCGAAAGATTGTGTACAGGTGTTGCTAGCCTGCGTTAGAATAAAAAAGGCTTCAGTTTTCTCAAAAATCATTTCCTCTCCTGAGGAAATGCACCGTGGTAAAATAGTGTTCCCAGTACTGTAATTGCTGGGTTTCAGCTTCAAAAGGAAACCCTCAGATATTACTCAGCATATGGTCTCCAACAGACTTTTCTGAAGAGGTTATAATAAATTTGTGTTTGATTAATAAAGTAATTCTAAAAAGTAAAGAACTCGAATCCATAGACACTCAAGTTGTTGAAACACTTGTTTTAAAATTTGCTTAAATTGTAAAACGTGTTTTACAATGAAACGAAATGTTTGCATCTATTGGATGCCCCATGCTCCAAGTGGTCACTGGAAACACTTCTCCTGGTTTTCCATTTTAACCTAGTGATGTGAAAGTCTACTTCCAATACAGAAAATAGTTGAATATTTATAGAAAGGAAAAAAAAACAAAACCTCATTTAAGAAAAGTAATTTCTTTCTGTATATCAGAGGACTGGGGTGTTGGGGATGGAGCCCAGGGCCTTGTGCATGCCAGGCAGGTGCTGTGCACTGAGCTGTGTCTCCAGTTCAAGAAAAGCAATTTCTGATTATCTCTCAATTTCTGTCAGACTAAAGCTATTCTTAATGACAAGAGTTTCAGATGTTCCAGTGAGCTGTGTTGTGATCTTCCTATGGTAAAGCCTCTTAACATTGTAGTTGTCTGAGGTCCCCTTAGTCTGGGTTCTATAGCTGTGAGTAATCCTCATTTTGAGGATACCTGGTCTCCCAGCATCTTATCTAAGGTCCACAACAATTACCTAACTTCCCTTCTCACAACATTGCCCCCAGCTTGTGCTGGTGTCTTAGGTGCCTAGAGGACAAATTTATGTAGTTCTTCAGTTTGGGTAAAGGAAGAAAGAAAATAAGCTTTATCTTTATAAACCTATTCTCTCATGTATTCAGGTTTGCAGGTTTATTTCTTGCCTAAATATTTCTTCTCTGAATTTTTTTATTATTATTTTTATTTTATGTGTCTGAGTATATTCCCTGTATGTGTATAAGTGCACTCATGTCGTGCAGTGCCCATGGAGGCATCAGATTCCTTGGAACTGGAGTTATGGATAGTTGTTAGCCACCATTTGGGTGCTGGAAATTGAACCCAGGACTTCTGCAAAAGCAGCCAGTGCTCTTAATTAACCCTTGAACCATCTCTCCAGACCCTCTTCTCTGAATTTTTAAGTTGGGTATGCTGCCACCAGGTGAGAGGAGTTTCAATTTTCTTGGTAGTATATTCTGGCCAGAGGAGTGTCTACTAGAGAAAAGGGCTGACTTTCCCTTGGCAGACACTGGTTAAATATTTAAGTTGAAGTTACATGGTGATGTCTACAGTTACAAGTGAAGAAAACAAACAGCTGGAGTCACACCTCATGTCAGCTTTTTGCCCCTCTAAGAAAATTGACTTAGGAGGAAGGATTTATTTTGGCTTATGGTTTCAGAGGTTCTAGTCCATCATTTGTTGACTCATTATTTGGGGGCTTGTGGTGAGACAGAACATCACACTGAGGAGCACACAGTAGAACAGAGCTGCTTGCCTCATGGCAGATAGGAAACAGAGAGAGGTGAAGGGGCCAAGGTTGTATCCCCTTCAAGATCATGTATCATGTCCTCCAATGACTTAACACCCTTCCACCAGGTTCTACCTCCTAATGGGTCCACTATCTCCCAACAGTGCATGAGCTCAGTTAGCACCAAGCCTTCAACACTCAAGTCTCTGGAGGACATCTGAGATCCGAACAATAAGCCCAGGGTTTCATGAATGGAAAGGATGGCTTTGAATTATACACATTTCTGTTGAAAACTTTCTTAGCATACTTGGAAGCCTTATGTTTGAAAGAATGGATAATGAAGGAAGGAATGCATTCCAGGATGTTAAAGAGAAATTGTAGTAAGAAAAAAATAGTAAATGTGTAAAAAAATAAAAATGTAATATTGGAGTGCCTCAGAGTAGAAGGAAGGACAGGAGTGACATCTGACTTGGCATCTGACAGGAGAGTGGGAAACCCCCAGAGAGCCTTTCTGGGGATCCTCAGCCAGCTGTTGCTGCTAGACCCATACCTGAGCCCTTTCAACACCCTTGTGACCACTCTGGGGACTGAATGGGCTTCATGTGAGAATGCTCATAGTAGATGTAGGTCTATACCCAGCCTCACCCACCAAGACAGGCACATTCCCCCCCCACCCCGCCTCCACCGGTCAATTGCTGCCCCAAAACAAGTTGTCTGTAATCTTGGTAGAAGAAAGTAAATATTGCTCTGTCAAAACCTGTTTGCAATAATACCAAGATGTCTAGAGCTGGGCCTGTGATCATATCCAGCCCTGCTTTTCTTTCTTGTCTTCTATTTTGAGGAGCAAGACCACCAACTGCCCAGTCTCAAGCTAAATCCCCAGATATCATCCTTGATTCTACTCAACCCCCATATCATCTGATGCCAGGTCCTATTGGTTTCTCCTCCTCACTGCCCATGGGGGTCCTTACTCTTCCTTTCTCCCCCACCTCAGCCTCTCCTCCACTCTTTCCCTCCTCTGGATCATTTCTGTCATGTCCTAACTCATCTCCTGGCTCCAATTTGCTCCTTCCCATCTCTTCTTGCATTAAAAGTTTTGGGGAGGGAGGATTGGAAAGTGAGGATTTGCCTCTGTGCACCCTTCACCTCCACCATCACTTTCCTGCTAAAACCTTTCAGAGATTCTCCATTGCTCAGATTCATCCTGACAATACTTAGGCCTTTGTACGCTATGCTACTGTTTATCTCAGGACCACAGGCATAGGCACATAGCTCTACATCTAATATCTATGTCATTAATACTGTGTCTACCCTGCTCTGCCCCACACTGGTCTCAGAATATATTCTGCGCTCTTAGCCTCGCCCCAGTTGTCACACAATAAACACAGTGAGTTGCTGAGAGAACCTGTTACAGTGTTCATCACATTCAGATCAAATGTTTTGTTGTTCTTTTACTTTATTTGCATATACTTCATGCTGAATTTTTTCATGAGCCATAGATTTTTCTTTCTTCAGTTTCTTCTGGGATATCTTTTTCTTCTGGCTCAGAAAGGATGTGTTCCTTTTCAATAAGGGATGTGGCAGGGAGGACGCAGGTACAGGTTCCATGAATGTGTAGCACATGAAGCCACTAAGGATGCCGCTTAAAGGAGGCTAGACGCTGTTAAAGTATTTTCAATGAAACTCTTTAGTTCATACAGTTTTCTGTTGATTGCATTTTGTCGACTCCAGGCTAGGCATTCTTGTTATCTACAAATAATATTTTTTTGTCTCTGGATTTAGAGGGAAAACCAAAGAATAGGTGTAATTAAGCTTTTGAGTGCAAGGTTAGAAAGATGTTTGACTTGGGCAACAGAAAGAAAGGCCTGTTGATGCTGGGGATATTCTGTGTCCAGGAAGACAGTGAGAAGTCCATCATAAGTCTGGGGCAGATCTGGGTACCACCTTTGAAAGCAGAGAAGAAGGTTTGAAGTTGTATTATTTTCTATTATAACTAAATGCCACAGACTGAGTAGTTTATAAAGATTAAAGGTTTGTGCAGCTGACATTTCTGGAGGCTGGGAGGTCCAAAGCTGAGGGGCTGCATATGATGAATAGTTTCATGCTGGTGGGGACTCAGTAGAGTCCTGAGGCAATAGAGGGCATCACATGATAACAAAAGCATGTCTCAGAGAGAAAGCCAAAGTAGCTTTTATGATAGATCTAATCTCCAGGTAACCTCATAGTCTGTTCCCGAAGGCAGAGCCTGCAAGACTTAATCACATCTCAAAGGCTTCACCTGAACCCACCATTCTCATATTTTCCGTTCTTTTCCTGTTCAATCAACTTTATTGTCAACTCTTTGTGGCCATTAGAGTTAATCAAAGCTTCAAATCCCAGGTTCAACCCTGAAGAGAAGATGCTCTGAGCTTCTGATTGTGTAGCAGTGACTGTGGTGATGGTGATGGCTGGCACTTCCAGTGGTCAGTGTACTGAGAGGTCAGAGATGAATACAGAAGGTGAAGAGCATGGTGCTTGGTACACAGTAACCTCAGTAGCTGCTGCTCCTGCTGAGGCCCTCCTTTACTGGCCCTTCATTGTAGGCATAGTGTCGCCTCTCCTTCCTGCACCTACCACCTCCTAGGTTCCTCCTGCTGCAGCTTCTCTCCCACCCCTACTCTCTGTGCCTCCCGTGGGCCTTCCATTTTCTCCTCTTTGGTGAGCAGACCATGAGGCCTATATCAACCACTTTGCCTTGCTCCTCAGCCCAAGTTTGGGTCAGAACAGATCTCCTTTGAAGGGCTGTGGACATTCCATGACACATGAGAAAGAAATTGTTTGCAGAGCCTATTTCTAGTGATTATGTGTGTTGTACACACATGCATATGTACTGCTGTTCCATTTTATGGGTGAGGTCAGGATTTGAATGGAACAGCCTTCCCTAAAGACATGGTTTAACCATTCCTTACTGTCTCAACAGAGAGATGACCTCGTGTTAAGTGGTAAGGGTAGGGAAAGGAGAGGGCTGTAAAAGTGGGGTCAGAGGGCAAGTAATGGTGTCCCTGCAGCAACTGGGCCAGCTCTCTGTGCAGAAGTGAAGTTGAAGCAAGGACAAAACAGCACCATGCCTGAGGGAAGACATTCTCATGGATGGAGTGAGAGTGGAAATCTACCGAGGAAGGGATCCAAGAGGTCTGGGGAAAACGCTCAGCCCTGATGGGCTGCAGCTCAGAAGATGTGCGTGTCAGCAGAGCAAAACAAGTGGAAGCTGCAAACAGGCTGTTAACTTGAGCAGCCCAGTAATGAAGATTTCGGTGGTTTCTGTGACCTAAGAGGCATTATGAAGAAGTTTTTGTGGTTTTGACAGTTTTGTTTAAACAAATCTGGTTATCAAATTTGCTCCTTTACATATTTATTGATAGAAGTGATGAATGAAAACAAAGCTGGCATCAGGTCCCTTCTAGGATGTTGCTTCATCCAAGCCAGCAAGCAGGTGGGAGATTCCCACAGAAAGGCATTACTGTTCCCACAGCAAGCCCAGTCAGGCCAAAATGCCAAGTGACCTAGTGGTGGCATGGACTAGCTGGCAAAGTTGACAAACATCATGTCTGATGTTTAAAAGAGAGCTTTCATGACCAAGGACCAGTTATAGTCATTTTCCCCAAGCCAGCATTAGACTCTATGATAAATGTGTGAGTTTTGATCTGATTACTCTAATCTTACATTCACCACATCCATTGAGAACAGAAGAGAAGCAGCACCTCATATCCAGGAAACTGACAAAAGGACCCCCTTGGAGCAGCCACAGAACATAGACTATACACCAATGAAACCGCTGAGCTGAGGTTTAGCAACATAAACACACACCAGCTCCGTGGCAAGGCCAAGCAGCTTGGATTTCCTATGCAAAACTTGGGAATCACTGAAGTAGAGAGGCAGAGGGGCCTCAGGCCAGTTATGCAATTAGCCAATAGCCTGTGCTGGCCTCCATACTCATTTAAATAAATTTTGAACTCATCAGCAAACCCCTAGCCAGATCCTTTCATTGTGAGAAGGAAGTCTCAGACTATATAAACCTGCATAGCGCTGGGCAATGAGACTGTGGAACAAGTTCCACATCCCACCCCCCAACAGGAACAGAGTCCTCGGCAGAGAGCCCTCTGGCTGTGTGTGGCCTGGCGCAGCCGGCACAAGCGGTAGGGGAAGAAGAGTCCCTGCTCTAGGAGGGGACTGGGAGCCTGGACCTGGGGACCAGGTTGTCCTAAACGTGCTGCATGCCCCCTCACACTCCCACCACACTGAAAGCAGAAGGGACATTAATGAGCAGTGACGGCAGCTCCAGGAGTGTAGAGGGTTTTGGGCCCCCTCTGTTTGGAGACGATGACCTTCGGGACTCAGAAAGGAGAACTAGGCTCATTTGCTTCCATTCAAGGCACTCTGAGTGCTTCCCACGTATCTCACTTATCCTCATGACACCCCTGAGAGGCAAGCTTGTTTGAGATCTATACAAAGTTATGATTATACCTATGGGTTCGAGTTCCTGACTCCATGTCATCATAAACCCCAGTCTCATCCCCATCTTGCTTTTCCGAACATAACAAAACCCTTTGGGGGAATGAAACAGCTCAGGCTCAAGCCTTGCCAAGGGTGACTCCCCTCCCCCCTTCCTTTTTTGTTGTTGTTAAGTTTGATTTATTGCTTTAGCATTCTAGCCATGCTCAATGGATGTTCAGAATATTATAAATAATGTGGATTGAAAAGATCGTGCTGAAATGTTTACTGCATTCTTAGAAAGAGCAAGGAACAGTATGCAGAGTATGGCAGAGGGAAAGAGAGCTGCAGAGGGAGGGAAGGCAGATCTTGCTCCTAGAAGCTTTAGACAGTGTGCAGAGGAAAAGAGCTTATATTGCAATCCTGCTATGAAGAATGCAGAAAGTTCCAGGGGCATAGAGGATTGACTTGAAGAATGTTGGGACCATGAGGAACTCGTCACTGGACACTCCTTCTCCTGTTTCCTTACCCTCACTACTCAAAGAAGGCCTCAACTCACAGAAGGACTGCCTGAATCCTGGTGTCCTCTAGGGTAGCAGACAACTGTGGCTAGCCCCACGAGAGTGAGAAGGAACTTCCTTCTCTGACTTGGTATGCAGTTAGAATCTGGGGTCTGATCTTTGGGTGTTCAGAAAATACAAATGTTGTCCACAAGAGGAGGTTGATATGGAGAAATGACTGTCACACTGGCCCATTGGCATACAGCACTGAAGCTTGAAGCTGAAGCCATCCTAACTTCTTCCTGCCAGATCAGCCTCATCTCTGTTCATACTCTCCTAGGCCCTGCCTTTGGCTCTGTGAGGAAGAGCCAGAACCCTGGGACGTCAAGAACATTTGGCACCTGATACTAGATAGAAGTCTGGCAATCTGGTGGAGATGCTTCTTTGAATCTCTTTGTTCTAAGCAAGACTAGTTCTTTGACCCTGCCAGTTGCTGCTCTGGGCCCTGCAGATCCTTAAGAGGAAATGAAGCTGAGGGAATGTTGGGTGGGGACGAATTGTGACAGTTTTGTGTGTCAGACATCTGAGACTTCCCCATTTCTCAAGAGGTGGTGTCATCATCAGTTGTATTTATTGGGTATCTGCCTCATCCCTGGCATGGTGACCTTTGCCTCACTACTGGCACAGTCGCCTCCCTACTGGGTAGGGCCCCTGTTATACTCTTACCTTCTAGTGCCCAGAGAAAGCTGGTCCAGTCCTTCTCTCATGTTAATGGCTATTTTGTTGTCCAGCTTTTGATCCTGAGCTCTAAGCCAGTGGTTCTCAAACTCCAACGCCAGAAGAAATCCTGTCAAAACAGATTCCTGAGTTGGTCCTTTAAGACTCATTTCTAACAATGCAGCTGGCTGGGCTTGGCCCCCATTGCACTCAGTGTGGTGCTCTCCATGTAAACTGTTCTGTCATAGATAATTTTCAGTAACTTCTTTCTTAAGATTGTCTTCAAACAAAGGCTGGTTCAAAGTTTCAGGGAACAGATGAAATGTGAAGTGGGGCAGTTCGATTCAATACAGAAAAGGGTCTAAGTGGCTGAAAACCCTGAGTTCAGATCATCTTAGAAAGAAGCCTGTGAACATCTGGTAAAACCTGCCATTTCACTGAAAACTAGCTGCATTCAAAGATTTGAAGGTTAAGAATAGACTATGCACACCTAGAATTTTATATTCAGATCGCTAGCCACCAATGTATTGATTTTTAATTTGACAATAATAGCTACACTTATTTCAACATTTTTATGGTTCATCAAAACCAGTATTTTTTTTTTTTGTCTTTTTGAGAAAGGGTGTCCTTGTAGCCCCAGCTGTCCTGGAACTCACTATGTAGACCAGGCTGGCCTCGAACTCCCAGTACTTCTTAATTACCTGTTTTATTCATAGTTTCATTACTTGTTTACTAGTTCACTTATTCAACTCATATTTATTGAGCAGTTACTATGTTGCCAGATTCTGTTTTATCTGCTAGAATGTTTTCTATGGTTTCTGCCACTGAGTAAGGAAGTCATTTAAAATCTATTCTGCTGACTCCTAATATTCCAGGCAGTGATTCTAAGATATGAGCTTTGTCCATTCAACCAAAACACAAATAAATGTTGAATATATGTAGTCATGCGTGGAATAATGACATTTTAGTCAATGATGGAGCAAATATAACATAATCCTGAAAGATTTTTATCACATAGTGATAGAGCCATTCTTATCTGTGCAAATACATTCTGTGATGTTCACCTAGTGATGAGGTCACATGATGATGAAACTCTCATGAAAACTTATGCCATATGTATGACTCCTGTACACAAGTAATAACATGCAGGACTTAGTTACAGAAATGCACAACCTGTTCTCTCAAAAAATTCACAGACTGTGAGGAATAGTAATTCATTAGCCCAGTTGTTAGTTTAATGAAGTAATACATCTGTATGCAGAAGCATAGGATAAGCAGACCTAAGATGCAGTGGGCCTCAGGAGATGTGTCTGTAGGGAGAGGGTGTTCTTGGGCTGAGCCGCTGGGTGTGTGGAAGCCAGCAGAGTCTGTCAGCCGTGTTAACTGTCCAGGTCTATGCCAAGGCCCAGAGGTACATGCAAATGTGGCATGTTGAGAGTAGGAATCCAAGGTGGCAAACCTGGATCATTTTGTTGGGAATGTGTCATAACTTGCCTTTTATTTAGCCGTGAAATGACTTCTGAAATAACTGACGGCTCATGTTTAATACAAGCCAGCAAACATTTCAAAGCCAAATCTGACATTCTGGATCACCCACTTTTTTTCCAGAAGAGTGGATAAGCAGGAGTTGATGACATCATTTTATATTATTCTCAAACACCTTTGATTATTGGCATGAACAATATGCACTTGGAAGGCAAATATTTTGTGTTCTTCCGATGACATATGACAGACACAGCCCTGGCGTTGGCATGGCACTCAGTCATGGTTATCAATGTGTCTTTTTCAGTGATTGTACGTTTCTGGTGTATTTCGACCTTTTCACATCAAATATATCCTTTCAGTTATTTGTTTCTTTAATTAGTGTTGGGGATTAAACCCAGGGCCCCACACATGCTAAGCACATGTACTAGCAGGAACTAGCAGCCCCAATCCCACACACTTAACATCTGAAGAGGGAGAAAGGAAAAAGACTTCTTCCTTATCCTCAGAAGTTCTTCAAGCCACACTCTGCTGTCCCCCCAGATGCAGCGCTTTCTCAGCCTTCTAGCTCTTCTCTAGTACATGCTTAGCCCTTAAATTCTTCTTCCATTCAGCCTCCTTATCAGTAGAATCTCTGCTCAAGTTTTTGGGCTAACGATATTCTAGAATTTAGTGCCTGATGTCTTATCTGTGTGTTTCTGGTAGGTTTGGTGGTGACTCTGTCCAATCTGCTCATGGTGTCTCTGTCTCAGGCTGCACAGGGGATCAGAAGGCTCCAGTTCCAGCTTTGAGACTTCACTCAGAATTATCAATCGTTTGCAGCAATGAACTCTGAAAGTAGAGGCTTCCCTATGTGAAGGTCAAGTTTATGACATGCTGTTCATAGGAGGAGATCTTAAGTGGTGGTGAAAAGTGTTTGTGAACAGCAGTAAGAGAAGTGACAACACTGCAGGTCCCTGTGATGAATGGACAGGTTCCTTCACTCTGCAGTGTGACAAAGCACATCACATACTTGCTCAGTGGGAGAGCCTGACTGTTACTGCTGCTCCTGTGATTTCCTAAACAGACCTGTAAGCTCTAATGCTGCTTTAAGAGGCCCTTTCCCCCATGAGCCAGTGTGGAACAGCTTTGGAATGGCTTTTCATGTTCTCACTGCAGCGATTATGATAGCACTCACAGAGCTCAAAATGCATATGGTTCTCATCCTGCTGTTAATGAAAAGTTCACAGTTAACCAGCACTCCAGGTAGTTTTCACTCCATTCCAGCCGTCAAGCATCTCACTGTGGCACTAAGGATAGGCACTCCTTTCCTTTTATTGGTTACTTTTCTTGTTGCTGGGTTGAAATACCTAGCAGAAAGCAGCATAAGGGAGAGGGATTTATTGTGGCTTACAGTTGGAGAGGCTACAGTGCAGCCTGGTTGCCAAGGCCTGGAGGCAGAGGCTGCTTGCCTATATCTTGAGAGATCAGGAGGCAGAGAAAGGGGAATGCTGATGCTCACACATGTTCTGCTTCTTCTGCCTTCGTTCACTCTCCCCTGTTCATCCCCTACAGTTAATCCTCTCTGGAAAGGCCCTGACAAATAGCACTCAGAGGTGTATCTCCTAGGTGACTCTAAATCTAGTCAAGTTGACAATGAAGATTAAACACCATACTTCTCATAGAGAAATACGAGTTCCATTGTATCTACCGGCTTGGCTTAGGTATTTTTATACATATAGATGTACAGACTGTTGGAGGATTTCATGAACATAAATTTCAAAATCTGTTTTTATGGTAGTCTTAGAAGAGTGAGCAAGAAAAGGCTGTCAAGAAAAGTCTAGCAGCCTTCTCTAGTTTTGCTTTGAGCAGTCAGGTCCTAAGGCAGGAAGCTTACCCACTGCTTCTCAGAGACTCCCATTCTGCTGCCTTGCTGCAAAGAGGGAGACCTTGCATTCACGCACATGTGCATCCGTCAACAGACCTCTCGTTTTGCTGCACACAGGGGAAGTGAGCCATTGTGCTGGAAGAGAATGAACAAGAGCATTTAAGACCACCTTGTGGTGACCACTTGAAAGCCAGCATGACCTTTTGAGTACAGCAGAGTCAAGAGGACAGGCTTCAGAGCCACACCAAGTAATTATGACTTGTATTCTAGTTATTTGGAAAAGAACTCTGCATCTGGCCACTCTCTCACCAGCACTTGTTTTTCTTTTCTCCTGTAACCCTTCAATCTCCTTTCTTCTGCCCTTGCCACCATGGCCCATGGTTTTATAATTCATGTCGCTTTGAAGGCCAAAGGAACACTGAGATTTGGTGAGGCAGATGTGGTCTACAGGATGACAGAGTGGCTCTCACCTGAAGTTGCATGCTTCAATGGCACTAGAATCCCAACTGTACTGGAAATGCGTTTACCCCAACTCTTCCGAACTTAGGGTGACATCTTGCATCTATTATTTCATCTTACTTATATGACCACAACCTGGCTGCCTCTCGATTTCAGCAACCAGCTGGTGGCCAGCACTCTGCGGCTCTCAGCCAGTGCTGTGATGAAGTGAAACGGCCCCTAAAAAAAGCAGCAGCCATCAGTTTAAGAAGTATACTTTTCACTTAGGCATAGAACAGTCAAAACAGGTCATTTGATGAATAGCAGTTAGACAAGAAGCAGCACACCACTTCTTGCTTTGTATGAGACCCCACATCCCCCCACAGACCAAGCAGGAATCGGTTCACTGTCTGACTTCTCCTGTCCTGGAAAGTGCTGGAAGCCATTGACAAGTTCTTCCTCTCCAACTCTCCTTCTGCCGCACTCCATAATAAGTTCCCTGTCTGCTTCCACTTGTCATTACATCACCCTTCATTCCAAGAAACTCTCGTAATGTGTTATTTCTAAGCTTACATACTATTAACATTTAAGGATGGAAGTTTTCTGATGCCACCCTAATCTTACCTGCAGTATGTTTCCAGATCCCATTGTTGGATAGTTAATTTCTGGAATGTATTAGCACTTCCTGTTTGCCCCTGGAAACTGAAGAAAGGAGAGACCTACCTTTGAGCTGCCCCCTCTATATGCTCTGAGAAGAGAGAGGCTGTTTTCCTTTTGGCCCTTAGCATCTTTTAGCATATTATATTATTTACTTATTTCTGTCTCTTTGCCTTCTCTACCCACCCACACATTAATTCAGTAAAGCAAAGCTGTTTTGGTCTTTGCTGAAGGTACAAGATGCAAGAGAGTAACAATCCTGTTCTTGCTTTCCTAACCAAGTTAGGTGTGAGGACCATATATTTCATTTGTTGCTTAAGCATTTATTGAGCAGCTCAGGGTACAGTGTATATAACATGTACTAAGTATATATAAAGTACTTGGTGCTAGTGATGCCAGTGCCTTGCTAAAAGCACAGTAATGTCAGAAACCTCATGCAGTTGCCTACCTGAACCACGCCCAGAGAGCTCTATCATGGGTGGCCTAGGGAAGAGATCTAAGCAATTAATTTACCCCATCAGCCTTTTCTCGTCTTCATTTACAGAGGATGAACTCAAATGCCCTGATGTTTGCTCCAAGTACCACTTGCCCCAGAACTGGAGCTTACCTTTTCTCCATTTTGACTTTTGAACGTCTACAACATTGATTTAAAGAATACTTATAGACTAATAGAAAAGGAGTCAGCATCTTGGAGATGCTGAGAACACTATTGAGAACATCTGAGAACATCTATTTCTGTTTGGACACCGACTTGTTCAGAGTCAAGAAACACAGCCCAAGACCACATGCCCTAAAGGAGGAACACCTCTGAACTGTTCTTTCAAGACCAAACTGGTAACGTGAAATCATTCACACCCTACTCTTAGATTTTTTCCAAATTACTAAAGACAGAGTTATTCTTGTTAATGATCTCTCTACTGAAGGAGCTCAGCTATAAGCAGGAGAAAATGGCTTTTGAAAAAAAAGGAATTTGAGTGATGTTGGGTTACTTGCAGAAATCTAAGGGATGATTTGGTCAGTGAAGTCTAAAGGATGGTCAGAACCAAAGCAGGTGCTGGGACCTTCTGGACTAAGTTTGTGGCCATTGTTGCTTGAGTATAGCCAGTACTGTAACTGAGTCCTTGGCTGTGCTCAAAATTCCCAGAGAAAAGCACCTACTGGCCTCCTCTGGGTACCATCATGTCGCTGGGTATAGAGAGGCAGAGTCAGTAAGGAGCCAAGGCCACTAGGCCACTTTCTCACACGCTGCCCTGGGGTTCGGAGCTCAGTGACCCATCACCTTGTAACCTTTGCATTCTAGTCAGATGATTTGCTTTCCACCAATCCAGTGGGTTGACAGAGCTAGCCTTTCTGCCCTAAGTTAGAACTTCAGCAGCAGTACCCTTGGGTCACCTTGCCAGGTGTCCCTAATTGGTGCCAGGTGATGTAGCCAGGTCTAAGCCGGACAAATGGAGGAGTCTGTCATGATGAATCCATAGCCGGGCTGGAGCCATTCAGAAATCTTTTGACGCATAGTCCAGAGGGAATTGTCAAAACAAGATCTCTATAACAGAGTTCCTGACTGGCTCTTCCAAGACTGTTGAATTCCTGCCAGACTCCAGACAGCCCTTCATTCCCAGGGGTAACACACAGCACAGCCAGGGGATGTTTCTTAGCAAGTATTGATGCGCCAGAAAATTGACATTCAATTATTGCCTCCACAACTCATAATATGATGGTTTTGATTGCCGATAGGAAGGATTATCTGTTTGCAGTTGGATTCTGCTGTTAAATTGTGGTGAGTGCTGAGCCGAACTTATTTTGGAGACGGGAAATGAATAACACTTTGAGAACACAGATGGGCCTAGAAGCTACTCAGCACTTTCTGTGCAGGAAGCAACTGTGATGGCCAAGTTTTTACTTACTCCCGCTAAGGAACGTTATCATCTGCGAAGTTTGCTCTCATTTTGGGACTGGGTAGGATTCGGATCGATTTTCCAGCCTCTCTCATGACACGGACAAATCCATGAAGACCCAAATATGCATCTTGGCACATAGTAGACACTCAGCAAGCATTTGTTGTTGGGCTCTATGTGGAGGCATGCCACTCTCCTTGGAAAACCTTTTCTAGGGCAGCACTTTTTAAATTTTTTTAAAAAATAAAGACAAGGAAGGTCTCCTATGTAGCCCAGGATAGCCTCAAACTTGTCATCCTCCTGCCTCAGCCCCTTAAATGCCGGCTGTCCAAGTATGCCCCATCATGTCTCTCTTCAGGGCAGTGTGCTTGTTCCACATTCGAATAACTTGAGCAAGTCTGACTGCTTGTTGCAACCAAATTTGCTTTGGCCAGTGAGATGAGCTCTCACGCAGGATCTCTGTTGACTAACTGCTGGCCAGATCATGGCCTCGGGCCAAGACTGGTGTGCCACAGCCACTGGTGCTGGACCCTGGAACCAGATCCCAGACTGGAACCTGCCTTGCACTACACTGCCCTCCAGTTCCTCTGCCCCACGTGTCTCACAGTCTTAATTCCTTTTAATTTCCGGTGTCTAGGCCATTTCTCTTTCTCCCTGTTCCCACCCCCAGCTCCTTTCAGGTCACCTGCTCGATCCCCACTTCCTGCTGAGAGCTCTTGCTCCCTCTGGCCCCCAGATGCCTCTCTTTAAAGAGCTGCCCCTTCTCTTCCTGCTCCTGTTTCTACTGTCACAGAGCTTTCTGTACCCCTTACAAGCACTGTCACTGGGCTCCTGGAATACCAGCACAGGGGCCACTAATGGCTCCTCTACAAGTAGGGCTGAGCCTTCAATGGAAAGGGGAAGGTGCCTCTGTCCTCCAAAGTCCCCTCAACCCAAATCCAGCCCAGAACTCCTGGGTGGCACTAGCCTGGCCTCCCTAAAGAACTTCCTTTGCCTTCCGGAAGCTGGTGCTCTTCAGAAGAGTGCAGCCACCAGTTAGTCAGCACTGGCTATGTGCCAGACACTGGACCCTGGCAAAACCACACATGGTACCCCACAGACCTGGGAAATGTCTGTCCCTCATGATCCTGAAGAAGCCCCATACAGCGGTGTTGGGCGGTTTGCCTTGCAGAGGCTAGAGAGGTGCCAGGCCCCATCTACAGGCTGCCTTCTTCTCTCTGCATGTTCCTATACTGTGATGCTGTCTAAAGGCAGGGACTGTTTATTACAATTAGTCATTAGTCAGAATGACATAACACTGAGATAAAGTGAAGATCTGTTTCATTCCTGCATTTCTCTATTTTTAGTCAGAACCAAATCAGAGGCAAGTAGTAAAAGCTGGTCAGATATTTGCCTTGTCATGTGTTCCTTTGAGGAGCCACACTGTCACTTGCATGTCATAGGACGTGCCTTGCTCCCTTCCTTCTGTAGGCCTCACATAACTGGCCCAGGCTGCCTGCTTCTGTCATGACCTCCCTGAGCCCAGCTCTATGACACTCCCACTCAGAGACTGGCCTTTTGCCCAAAGCCAGCCCTCTTGCTGGCCAGCCACCATAACAGAATTCCCTTAGGGAGTGTGTCACAGCTTAAGCAGTAAGAGCCTCCCCTCTTCTTCTTACCATGCCTCTGACTTTATTTTTGTGCCTATAGATTGGGGAAGAAACAAGATTTGGGAACTGTAAAGCTTGACGCGTGCATTCCTGCAACGGTAACAGTGCTCTTGCATGTGCCTCCTGTTCTTTTTGTGCTGCCGTTGTCATTCTCCGTGTCATCAGTATTAACAGTGTCCTGTTTTTGCTTACACAGCCAAGTCACCAAGGCTCAACAGCTCCTGGGTTCTTCCCTGCGCCTCCTCTTCCCAGCAGCTGCTCTAACAGTGGGTTGCCTTCAGTTTGCTTTAACCTTCTTCTGTGACCCCACCCTCAGTGTGTGCCCCTGTTCTGACCTCCACTTCCTTCAAGGCCTTTATGGTTCAGCTTTTCATAGCTTCTCTCACCTGGTGTCCACTTGGCTGAGCTCTGCCTGCTTTTTGACTCCAACCAGCATCACCCGGCACAGCTGCCTTTCCTGTAACTAATAACCAGAGCGGATGCTGCCAGATATTCCACTGTGAACTTCCAACCTTTCCTGGATGCCCGTCATCATGGCTGGGCCCAACTAGAATTGGTCTCTATTTCTACCAAATGCCGCCCAGGTGTTCCTCTGGCTTTGCTCTTCTTTGGAATGACTGACATGTCACTGCTGTGGTTACCCTGAGAGAAGCTGTCTCACAGGACATTCTCAGAGCATCTGCTGTACATAGGGTACTGTTCTTAGCAGTGGGTAGACAGGAATGATCACTCTTGTCAACAAAACTACCATTTACTCAGAGCCATAACAGTTATGTTCTAGAAATGTTACGTGCTTTTTCTTATCAAATCCTCACGTTTGCCTTTGACACTGGGTTTGTTTTTTATTTAAAAACAAATTTTATTTATGTATATGTATGTATGTGTCTGTGAGTATATGCCATGTACGTGTAGGTGTCCACAGAGGCCAGAAGAGGGCATTAGATCCCCTGGATCTAGAGTAACAGGCAGTTGTCATCTACCTGATGTGGGTGCCTGTAACCAAACTCTAGTCCTGTGGAAGAGCAGGAAACACTCTTAACCACTGAGCCATCTCTAGTTCTACACTGGTGTGTGTGTGTGTGTGTGTGTGTGTGTGTGTGTGTGTGTGTGTCTCGTTTTAAAACTGATAGAACCAAGTTCAGAGTTTAGAAACTTTCCCAAGATATCCTAGCTAACAGGTAGATTTGAAGTCCTTTGTCCGTGGACTAGTATCCTTCTACCATAGAAGACTGTGTGTGATCCCCTTTGTGGATATACATGTTTCTTGGTCTCTGGGAGAAGCAGGATGTATAGGACCCAGTGGCTTTTATGGAGGATGTCACATCTAAGCTAAGCATTGAGCCTGTGGCCTTCAGATCAGCGGGGAATGGGACAAGGCAACAGGTAGGGGGAGCCGGTGGAGAGTATAGGGTCCATAAAGAAGAGAGAGGGTGGGCTTGCTCAGTTGGCAGAGTGCTCATCTCATAAGCACAAGATCATGAAGTTGATCCTCAGAAATAGGGGTTATGCCTGTAATCCTAGCACAGAGAGGTGGAGACAGGTGGGTCCTTGGGACTCACTGGCCAGCCAGCCTAGCCTGTCTGGTAAGTTCCAGGCCAGCAAGAGGTCCACTCTCAAAAGATAAGGTGGTAGATGACTCTGGAGGAGCAACACCTAAGGTGGTCATCTGACCTACACACACATATGCAAACACACACACACACACACACACACACACAGAGGAAGTTGGAGGGTAACACTGCCCAGTTCTGATCTGTGAAATAGAAGGAAAAGCTTGAAGGAATGGTTTGGATGTCAGGCTAAGAACAAAACCAAGCTCAGAAGACCAGGGGAGGCTTTTGCCTTTTTTACACAGTGTTTTATTTTGTTTTGGGGGTGTTTTGTTGTTGTTGTTGTTGTTGGTAGTAGTAGTTTTTTGTTTTGTTATGTTTTGTTTTGTTTTTGAGATGGGGTTTCCTCATAGTCCCACCTGGTCCGGAACTTGCTACGTAGACCAGGCTGGCCTGAAACTCACAGAGATTTGCCTGCCTCTGCCTCTCCAATGCTGGGATTAAATGCACCACCATGCCTGACTTGCAGGGTTTTTTAAAAAAAAAATATTTATTATTTCTATTTTATGTGTGTGAGTGTATTGCTTGCATGTATGTGAGTGCACCCGTGTTGTACAGTGCCTGTGGAGGTCAGAAGAGGGTGTCAGACCCCTGGAACTGGAGTTACAAAGGGTTGTTAGCCACCATGTGGGCACTGGGAATCAAGCCCAGGTCCTCTGCAAGAGTAGCCAGTGCTCTTAACCACTGAGCCATCTTTCCAGCCCCAAGGATGTTTTAATGAAAGCATTATTAGGGTAAATTAACATGTAGTCCATATGGTAAGGTAGCTTTGAGAAGAGACAGGTGAGCCCAGAGGCAGGTAGGCGCTCCTTTGCTCAGCAGCGTTTGGCTCTCTGGCCCTCTGAGCTGCAAGGCCAGTTGGAGGAAAGCTGTGGTGTCCACACCATGGGCAGACAAGTAGCTCAGAGTGCTTCAAAGTGGGCCAGTCTGCACCGAGAGCCCCAGGCTTCACTTTCCAGGTGCCAATCAATCCAAAAATCAGAATGCAAACACATTCTGCCCTCCCCCACAGTCTACTCTTTTCTTGGCTTTTTGCCCAGTCATAGAATTAAAGGGAACATTTACATGAACTTTTGAAAACAAATATTCCAGTTCTATCTCTTGTCCTGCTCAATCCCCACTTTGGCTCCAGAGTCTGAAAAAAAAAAAAAATCCATGTTTGATCAGCAAGAAGCAGCTGGTTAATAAGTAAGCAAATGTCACCTTTGGCAGCGCAACTGTGAAGGAAAACTGACCACTGCAGGTGGAGTCACAGGTTCTGTCGACCCTACAGGCTGTGTGGGGCAAGGCAGGCAGGCAGTATGTGGATTTTGGTTCAAAACAACTAGAAGCAGCCAGGATGGCTTTCCTTGTGACAAAACCAGATGAAAAGACTTCCAGACAAGGGTATCCTGCGTCTCCCCTGGTCCCCTCCACCCACACCTCTCCTGCAGCTGTGGGGTAAAAGTGGCCAATACAGAGATCTGTTCTCTGGAAAAGCTGGCCTCCATATTTCCCGTTTCTTCTCCTCATCCTTGCAGTGAGCCAAGGGCCATCGCCTACACTCCTCTGTGGCAGAGGTTTTGGCTTCACAAGCTTGTTCTTCACTGGTTTCCAGTGTTTCACTGGAAAAAAGTATGGGCCATTAGTCCACATGAACAATCTTCAGAAAACATACTCCTGTTCCTGAGCCACTGTGTTTAATGTCCTTTCCCAGTCTGAAAAGGAGTTTGTTTTCTTACATCTTTTTTTAAGTGCCGTGAGCTAGACTTATAAATATTGTAAGTAGTTGAGTAGTACTCATCTGGTAAACTGACCAAAAGGAAATGGGCATTTTTTTCCACTCCTGTAACCCTTGGCACCCCATGCTCACTCCTGAAAGGGGCTCTTGAGTTCAGGGAGGGAGCATCTGACCTGCCAGGTGCCAGCAGGGCCAGGGCAGGAGCCCAGTGAAGTGCAGAGGAAACGCCCCAGGCAGGAGCCTCACAGGTGTTCTACACTAGGGCTGGCCAGAGCGGCCAGAACGTTCATTGTTTAGAAGTTGGCAGGCTCCCAGAGTTCCACTGTCATTCTTGTTCTGAAATGTCAAACATTTCCTTAGCTAGGGGATGGATGGTGAGACCCCTCCACCCCTGAGGCCTGAGCACTGTTGTGAGAAAAAAAAAAGTTATCTTTGACACATGGCATACTGTGACTCAGGTTGTTCCAGGAGCCATTTTGCAAGATGGTCACTGCATCCTCAAACCTGGAACCACTTTCCCATGTCAGAAGGCTGGGGCCCTGGCCTGCCTCTGGATGGGAAACTAGGAAGAACTCTGTGGTTATGTGACAGTGCCTCTAACACAGTGACTTTATTTTGGTTTTTGAGATAGGGTCTCCTTCCAGCCCCAGTTGGCCTGGAACTTGCTATGCCTCCATGTCATGAGATCTGCCTGCCTCTGCCTCCTGACTTCTGGAATTAAAAGTGTGCACCACTGTAACTGGCTTATTATTATTATTATTATTATTATTATTTAGCACAGTGACTCTCCCTGAAATGTCTGTGGGTGAAACATACCCAAGAGCTGTTTCCAGGTAGTACAATGAGCCCAGAAGCAGGTGAGGGTGCCTGCGAAAGCAAGCTAGCCAGGGACTGGTTCTTGTTAAAGCTCAGTGACTTACTTGTATGTGTGTTTAAAGTTTTCCACCATAAAAAGTAGAAGGAAAGAGCAAAGAGAAGATGAAGAGAAGAAACTGTATCCTAGTTTTTCATCCCCAGAGAGTCTGGGCTTCTGTGCCTGATAAACCCCACACTCTGTTGGGCATCAAGACCCCTGGGTGGGCTCCTGTGGTTCAGGGAGGGGTTAAGACCATGGCTAAGAGTCAGACTCACCTGGGTTCCCATACAGCCTTCTTGAACCTATGTTTCCTGTGTATAGAACACACAGCAGAGTGACTAATTATGGAGAGGTGAGCCAGATAATACACCCCTAGCACAGAGACCAAAACCTGGTGACCTGTGGGGCTGAGCTTTGCCTGGCTTTGACAGGGTTCACACTTTCCAGAGCGTATCCAGAAAGACTCCATTCAGAAAGGTACCTGAGCTGTGCTCACACTGTATAGAAAGGATTGCACGATAAGGTATCTAAATAAAATCTCTTTGGCCAAAGGGCCCCGAAGTTGGCCTTGGCGTATCACTGCCGCCTACTGTCTTGATATTACTTCACTACAGTTTACATAAGCCTATTGAAAGTTTCCTCCCAGAGAACCTGTGTTCACTCTGAAAGGGTTTAAAATGTAAAAGTCTTGTCTTTGCTGTTGGAGCTCCCTTTTTGTCTTTGGACAAGACCTACTTTGTTACATGCTATCAACTTACCATCTATAGTGTCAAGAGGGAGGTCTACTTCAGTTCCTGCCCCTATCACAGTTAAGGTGCAATGTGTCTAATTCTGCTTCTGTGATAACCACCTCAGCCCCTCCGGAGGCAGCATTGTACTAACAATAGTTCCCAGAACCCAAGAGCCTTCCCTGTCTTGGTGTCTCCATGCCATCTGAAGGTTGGTAGGATCACTTTTGAATTTCCTACTTGACAGTTTCTGCTTCTCCCTCCCTGTTCACTACTCCTGTGTCTTATTGTCTTCTCACCCTTCCAAATATTCATTTATTGTGTATACACAGCGCCTCTGTGGACCCACTCTGTTAGGTTCTCTGATGCAGTGGCAAGTGAGGAGGTGTAGTTCCTACTGTGGACATCCACCTGCCACAGGAGGAAACAGATGGGAATTGGCACCTAACAATGATGTGACTAAGTCCTACTCTGGAGATGTAGAGCTGCAAAAAGCGCCACTAACTGCAGGCCATGAAGGAGATTGTTACGAAATGTCACCAGTGCTGAGACTGGGGGTTCACCAGGCC